AAGCTATATACATGTAAACAAACATGCGTGTTGCGAGGTGCCTGCCTCCAATATCCATTTCGAGGCCCGCTTAGCGAAGCATAAAGCGCGCGGGCAAGACGTCACACACACAGCAACGTTCATTGGCTAAAACAATCGAGTAGCGCGGTTAGGGATTTTCGGAATTATTTAATTTGAAGAAAAACTTCAATGTTCAATGAATGACGCTCAGTTACACGTTTACTTCCGACAGCGAGTGAAAATGCCGAAAATTTTCCACTTCGATGCGAAATGCATCGGCCAGGCATTTCATTATTTACGAAAAGTAAACAGGCTTGCGAAAGACAGTCGGTACAGTAACTGGTCACGTCGGTGACGCCTCATTCATGTCCATCAACGAAGAAGATGGGGCTTATTCTGATTACGGAGATGCGAAAATGCAACAGAAGGACGTAGCGCAGTGCGCTAAACAGCGTGTTATTTGTGGCAAACTCTATCGTAGGCAACCGTTTTAACATAGCAGAATGCCCTAGTTCCTGAGATCGGCGATTTGGTGGTCCAATGGGTCCCCATCTTTAAAAATATAAAAGACTGGTGCGGCGTAGGCTGTGATTGGAAGACACAAAGTGTCAATCCTCGGCACGCCTCGGGATCATGGCCGCATCACGTCAAGACTCAAAACTCGTATATATGTCTTGCCCCTGAGCTATTGTTGTGGAATGTGGCAGGTTTATTCTTTATTCGCCCACATACGTGGCGATTGCAGTAAAAACGTTCTACGTCAAAACTCTGACCACTATTCGTCATTTCAGTGTATATATATGTCTATAATTGTATGTGACTGTAAATACATGAATACGGATACCTTCCAACTTTGAATGAGATCAGAATATTCCTCGGCCTCCATTTCCACGACCACTAGCTTGATTACTCAATACATTATCAGAAAATTGGCAATAAGCTCAACATAATATTCTACCCGTGAAATGTTCTATACAAAAGAAACATACTCTAACTCATCTCATTATTTGCAGTTTTGATGCTTGCATAGCATTTCTTCGACACATCACAATAAACATAGAGCGATTGAGTTTGTTCTGTGTAGCTGCTCACTCGATCGGCACCATGCAAGCACCGCGGCTGTGCAGTCATTTATCGTTCGTATTTGTTATTCGGTAGCTATATATGCAAGCACGTTCCTCAACAAGTTAAAAAAAATATCTGTTGCACATATCTGGTTTACTATATTTCACGATTTCTTAATAATAAAATAATTCTCACCGTAATTATTTAGCTGCGATAACGAGAAAATTTGTGACTGAGGCAAATCGGGTTCTATTTCGCCCCTAGTACAGTTGATATCAGGATTCTATGACCTTGTGTAGTACGACAGTGCAATGTAATACGGTACTAGCTTGGAACAGCTATAATATCATAGCAATATATCGCAATATAGCAATATATTAACTTGACAGTACTGGAATACCAGGACAAACCACCGTAATATGGTTACAAAATCAATGCAATCAATTGCAGCAGTCGCACGATAGTACTATTATATTAACTACAATAGGGCTGTATTACGTACTGAAATAACCGCCAGATACAAATACGAAATGCCAACGGCTACGCGGTATATAGTAAATAACATAATAGGCCCCTAAGTTCTATAAAACTTCTTGGTGCAATTTACAACAATACGAGCATAATGCTTTTACAACATCTGTCAACATTTTGCAAACTACATACTGTCATTTCTGCGTTATCATTCTCAATACTAATGTAATTTACCTCAAGTCAGCATGATACTTCTACATTGGCTGTTACAACCGCGTATCGTACGCGGCCTCGTGTTTTTTAATGTGTTTAATTTATATATTTCACTGTGGATTACAATCACGCCACACTCATGAGGCATTTGCACACAATACTGAACGTGTGTGTGCTTATAAATTATTTCTATGAATGGCGCAACGATGGAAAATTTGATTACAATTGCGGAAAGATGCCTAGAACTTGTATTTGTAGCTTACGAGTGCAATGCTATTATTATCACGTAACTATTTCCATTCCAGTACGTTGCTACTGCACTAGTTGCTTGCAGTAAAAGCTTTGTTACCTGATAACAGGTCACACTCCGCGCCATCACGGAATTAGTAGTACCGATATTCACTAGTAAAACGCAATAACAATAAAAATAACAATAGTGATAACAACAACAATAACAATAACAGCAACAATGACGATGACAGTGACAACATAAACAACAATTACAACGACAATGACAATAACAATAACAATAACAATAACAATAACAATGACAATGACAATGACAATAACAATAACAATAACAATAACAATAACAATGACAATGCCAATGACAATAACAATAACAATAACAATAACAATAGCACTAACAATAACATTTTGTTCAGCGTTGTACCTTGTATGTATGTACTACATATAGTATGTGTATACAATGCGTCGAGCACACACCCTAAAGCCCGGCGCACACGTGAGTAATTTTACTCAAGTAAAATGATGCATGCGTCAAAATACTCACATGTGCGCCGGGCTTAAGCAAGTTCAAGGTCGTGTCTGTGCCTTCTTGCATTATACCTCTAGACTTCTGCTTGATATTCCCCTGATAGCCCACATCTCAAACGCCTGTCTGCGGTAGATGCTCGGTAAGCAGCGGCGCTATGAGTCGAGGACTGACGCGCAGAGGAAGGCCGTTCGTCACAAGAAGTGATCGTCGCCACATTCCACCAACACCTAGTCCCACACCCAGCACAGCACCGCAGCCACCGCGAACCAGACACACGCACAGGCATCGTTCGACAACCTAGCACATTTCGTATAGTACCATAATATCGACGAGATCAAGCGATCGCCAGTGGACGAAGCCAATAGACCCATTTCCACTGGTTCAGCTACTTTCATTCATGTCCCACCACATCGTGATCGACCGCCGCCTAACTAAATGTCGTCGCTCATTGCAGTATGAATTTAATTTCAGTCTACCAGAAAGTCAAGCTCGTGCGTCGCACACTACTTCTACGAACGCACACTGATAATGTTGCATTCGTATAGCAAAATTCTACCTAAATATTAGCACAAAACTAATACAATATAAGCATACATACATTCTAATACATTACCCCCGGGAGGGGGCACTTCATATAAATTGTATGGTAGGTATGTGCCGCGGGCGTGTATTTTTTTCCTAGGTCAATCAAGAACATAGGGCTCTAGCGAGCGCTGCCATTGGTTGATACAAATCACGTGCCTCAAACTCCTGTTTTATTGTGTGTGTGTGTGTGTGTGTGTGCGCGTGCGTGCGTGCGTGCGTCCGTGCGTGCGTGCGTGCGTGCGTGCGTGTGTGTGTGTCTGTCTGTCTGTCTGTCTCTCTCTCTCTCTCTCTCTTCCTCATTTTTTTGTCCTGCTCGCTCCTACACCTTCTCTCCCTCGTACGCGCACGCTCTCGCCCCCCTTTTTCTTTCTCTCAATATTTTTCCTTCTCTCAATTTCGCGTGCTCTTCTTTTCTTTTTCTTTCTCGCTATCGCTCTCGCACTCGCTCTGTTTTTTTCTCACTATTTATTGTTTCTCTTGTTATTATTATCCCACTCTCTATCTTTGACTATATACACGAGAATGTGCGGGCGTACGCACAAACACGCTAGCTGTTCATACTTCCATTCCTTTCTGGCATATAACGGCCAGCCACACCAAGGCATACTGTATAGCGTAATATACCTTTCACCACGTCATGCGTGCCTAACTCCGTTTTTCATTATGTAACGAACTAGTACAGCGAAGGCGAGCATCATTAATGAGTGTAGACTGGTTCGTATCGAACTCCTGCTGGAAGGGTGGCTTGATGGCGCTTGCAAGCTTACGTCCTGAGCAACGCTTCCTTGCACAATATCTTTCATTACAATGACGATCTATTGGTATCGCGGAATTTTTAATAGCGCAACGACATTCACAGACGTGTGCGTGAGACTAATCACGAAACTTAATCACGTAAACCAAAATAATTTTGTGGTATATTTTAGTTAATTTGTATCACGAGTAAGGGCCCGATTCCGAGCACCTGTTACGTAAATTGCTGCGTCACGCTCACTCGCGCCCACGCGCTCTCCCCCTCTCCCTGTCTCCCACACACTCTCTCTCTCCCTCTTTCTCTCTCTACTCTCTCTCTCTCTCTCTCTCTCTCTCTCTCTCTCTCTCTCTCTCTCTCTCTCTCTCTCTCGCTCTCTCTCTACCTTTTCTCTCTCCCTTTCTCGCTCTCTCCCTCCCTCCCACTCTCTCTTCCTCACACACACTCTGCCTCGCACCCTCTCTCTCTCTCTCTCGCTTTCTATTTGGTACATTTTCATGCTACCGTATTTTCTAATTTTGTCAAGTTGTGTTTTCATTATTTGTACCTATGTTTTCCTTTGGTTCTTGTAGTCTATGTATTCCAATCAAAACCACATTTTACATTTATAAATGATTATTTAGTGGGAAAATTGATAGTAGACAAAATGGGAATAGGGTAGATTTTTGGCAGTGGCTACGGGTACGGTAGCCGTATCTTAATGTCTCGAGGCTACGGGTACGGGAGTCCATTCACTTTCATACTTAACGAGACAAAGATGGCGGCGGTGGCGCCAGATTTCGAAATAACGCCTTGGGAAATAAATTCACGATTTGAGAGTTTAGATGAGCTAGAACCCTAACCCTAGCCCTAACCCTAACTCTAACCCTAACCCTAACGCCTTAGAAAAGAGGCTTCAACGAACGACGGCTACCGTACCTCTAGCCACTGCGTAGATTTTTAGTGTAGACGAATTGAGAGTAGGCGAAATGGGCATAAACCGGCGGGTTAACTATACCTATAGTGGAGACAAGAATCACGTTAAAGCTAAATACAAAAAGTTAAAGATAGATGTTTTAGAAGACTAGCTATGGCGACACACTTTCAGCAATGGAGCAATAATACAATAATTATATAATAATAATATAAAGGACTCACCGCAGCTACCTCGCCTATACTAGCTTTACTGCGCTTCATCAATCAACCTGCAGCATAGACGACCGGGTGTGCTGAGTGCGTTATATGCGTAGTGCATACGCGGGGGGTACTGCCCGGTCACGTCAGTGTCTCGCCCCCGTCTCGCCACAATATAGTTCTACGTTTGCCACTCACACACAAACACACACACACACACACATATATATATATCCACACCAGACGTCAATGGAGAAAAACGATTGTTAATGACAATACACTCCTATTGTCTTGCGCAGCCAAGCATTTCTCATATTTACCGTAAACAGTAGTTTACGACGTCATGTGCAGGAAGTCAAGTGCTACTGACAGTGATGTTACATAGCAGACTTATATATGAATGTACGTTCATAAAAAAACAAAAAAGTAACCCGCGTTTCCGTTCCAAAATGAATGCAAATATAGCAAAGTCCAGAGTCAGATAACAGCCATTTCGTACAGTTATGGTAAACAGCTGACATTTAAAAACATTTAATCGGGGAGGGCGAAGTGTATGCTACATGAATGAGCCAGCCATACATAAGATGTGGCCGTTATATTTTATACACGATAGTTTTTAGGCTTGGCGCGCCTGACTGCCTGCCCAATATAATAAGACCGCTCGATCACCACGATTCCAGCGTCACGACTCGTGGTTTGTAATCACGGATGTAGATAGCAATGTAAACGCACGTGGTTATCTGAGTACACGACAAGGTGACATATAGATCTGTCATGTAATCAAACAGCGTACAACATAAAATTAAGTTGTTTAATGTCTGTGTTGATTTTTGTCATACATTTTTCATATAAAGTCAGATTGTTGAGCATGAGGAAAATGGATAAGCGTCGCCTCGGCTGGAAATTGACTTAGATATTTAGCTAGATCTTCTGATAACCGCGGTCGCAGCTCTATATATAATCAAGAGTAGATAATAACACACCAGCCCATAGAAATAATATGCTGCGCTGAAATGCTGCGAAAAGCTTGCGTGCTCCGTGACGTACGTCAGCACGGAAAAAATTTGGCAATCGATTAGGGAAACGAAAACGTGGTGGATGAAGTGTATCGGTGGCGTACAGCGCCGTACACTGTACATTGTTGGCTTGTCGACGTGGTGCGCGGTCGCTGGCGTCAGGGGTCGGAAAAATTGGCACCAGGAAAGTTGGTCACAGGATATATCATCTAAATGAGCTATGTGGTTAGCTAATAGCTTAATGAGCTTAATTAGCTTAATAGCTAATAGTTTAATAGCTAAATGAACTAATATATTATCTAATCAAAGATAGCCGGTCTTGCGTACAACCGACGACGCGAAAAATTGTTTATAGACATGCAGGAGACTAATTTACTGCATCAAAAATTAAAACACTCGATTGAGACATTGGATTGACACATACTGAGACGATTTTAGTAGAAATCTAATTAAATTCATCGTAATATACGGGGAAGATGTGAAATTATGTGGGTGGGTCGGGGAAGGATGACAGCAGAAGGAAAAGCTGTCTGAAATAAAAGAGTAAGAATTAAGAAGAGAAAAGTAGAAATGAAAAAGAAAGAAGTAGTTATAAAGAAAGTTGGCACAGTGGAAGAGAAACGATGATATAGAATAGAAGAAGAAGATGGAATGCGTAAGGCATGGGCGAAGAAGAAAAAATGTCAGAAAAGTGTGTATAAAGCAGAAGAGTGTGTAGGACAGGACCAGAGGAGTAGGATGAGAAGATCGGAACAAGATCAGAGTAGGTATCAAAAAAATGGATGACAGGGGTGACTTAATCGGGGGTGCATGGGTGCAGTAAACGAAAAGAAACGCTGAACCGAAGGCTGAGCGTGAAGGAAGAAGTTATTATACATGTACAAAACCACTATGTATGCTAGCATAAGTCATTCCCTACTTGCTAAAGGAAATGTGTGTATATGTATCGTCAAAGTGAGAACAATATAACCTCTTGCGCAAATGTTTCAAACTGGTTGTTGTTGCTGTTTTTGTTGTTGTTGTTGTTGTTGCTGCTGCTGCTGCTGCTGCTGTTTTTGTTGGCGTTGCTGCTGTTGTTGGTGGTGTTGCTGTTGTCGTCGTCGTCGTCGTCGTCGTCGTCGTCGTCGTTGTTGTTTTTGTTGTTGTCGTCGTCGTCGTCGTTGTAACCATGGCCTACGATAACGTGAAACTTGTTCACACAGTATAGCGGCTTGACAGTAACAAACTTGTACAGTATTGAACTTTGTGCATTTGATTTTTAACGCTGCCCTTTTTAATATAAGCGAAAATTTTCAACTACGCTCTCTCCATCTCCCTCAATGGGTAAAATAAATACAAATATAAAGTATCTTTCTGACAGATACTCCCCCCTGTTTCTCTCTATATATGTCCTGCATTTTCCATACTACTTTCGCCTTAATTTCGTGCATCGTCTCCTGCTTTTACAGTCCCTCTATGATCCACCTTTCTCTGCAGTCCGCTTCTTTCTTCTCGACATCATCTTTCCTCTCAACCATCCTGCAACCCCGCCCTCTTTATTCCTCGTCGTCTTACTCCTCCTCCTCCTCCTTTTTCTTCTTTGCTTCTTTCCTTATTTCTTCATCCTCCTCCCAACTGCCTCGATCTTCTTTATTCGCCCTCTTCCACTTCCTCCTCTTCCACTCACGCGTTTCTTAACTCTACCTCCGTTCTCCGCTTAGTATCCATGTTCGCAGTGAGATATATAGCAAATAATTCTCTCAGTAAATTATTTATATATAGCCTAATAATAATTTTTTCCACGACATATATTCACAGTACAGTTCACATGTAGTATTAGTATGAAACATATGTATCAGTCCGGTAGTTGACCACACTTGCAGTATATTGCTCCTATATCTCAGCAAACATTCCCGTGTAATCAATAATTTTTACCTGATTTTGCCCTTGGGCTCGTAGGCTCATTGTGTTCTTGGACTCGTTCTTTTCGAATTACATGCATTGATTCAGCGAGCGTCGTAACCTAGATTTTTTTTTAAATCGACACCGTTATTTAAATTTTTGAGTTCACCAGACAGTGATACACCACAGACTCGCACTCAGATGTCGCACTTGTTCCGTCAGCGGTCGATTGCTTTCGTGTTCAGTTTCTGTTAGGCTGAGTAGTGTATTGGCAGTTCCAACAAATCAGTAAAAATAAAAATAATGTATAATAAATCCTATTGCACCACTAATAACTCTCCTATCTGCGGTAAGCAACTCCTCACTGCAAAAGAAAAGCACATTCCCCATACATATAATCCCTGGTGGTGCAATAAGATTTATTATACATTCTTTTTATTTTTACTGATTTGTTGGAATTGCCAGTGGTTGAGTATCGTGTTCTGACATTTGTGTGAGAAATCTAGAGGAGAAATGTGGTGGAGGAGCATAAGAATAAACGGGAGAGGAGGCAGAATATGTAGCAGAGACGATTATATATAGTAGCGATCCAGATTATGCGGAGGTGATGTAGGGGGTTGTAATGGTAGAAGATAAAAATTAAAACTCATATAAAAGCGGCTAACGAGCACAGAAGCAGGAGAAGAAACTCATGTGGTACGGAAAAAGCGGCCCAGGTCGATATTAGACAAGATGGGTGGCGCAGGAAAAGAGGGTGAATGTTGGGTGGAGGAATTAGTTGAGTGAGTAGATAGACGGTGAAGTAGGTGGGTGGATGAGGGGAATTGGTAGGCGCTACAAGCAACTAACTTATCCTTGATGTGAGCCAAGTTGGCTTGATCATTAAGTCAGTGACTTGCTAGATGCTGCGCTTGCTCCACACAGTGTTGTTTGCCACCAGTTTGTAATTCCCTTTTCACCGTTTTCCCTTCCCAGCCGTCTTCTTCTACATTCCCCCTTCATTCATTTGCATCGTTACACATCCTTAAATGCTTCCGTTACTTCTTTCCCCTAACCAAATGCAATCCTGCGTTATGAGCTATCCGTCATCAACTTTACCCTCTTCCTATCCTTCCCCGCTCACTGGAATTCCCCCCCACCCTATAATGCCTCCAAGTCATATCATGCAACTGGATAATTAGTCAGTCTTCTCTCTTGTAGTCACTGTGCCCCTTATTTCGTCACTCTTTTTTTGTGCTATGCAGTATCTCTTCTAGCTCTAGTAACTATAGCCCGCGTACAGTTGCCGCAGGGTGCGGCAACTGTACGCGGGCTATAGTTACTAGAGCTATATCTCTTCATGCTGGCAGTTCACGCAGCAATTATTGTTCCAGCTCATGCTGCTCATCACATTGCTGGAACATGCGCGCCACCTATACCTGCCGACTCCCGAGCACGATCAAATTCACATCTAACAATCGGTAAACTCGCATACATACAATACATGTATACCATAAATTGGTGCGACCGTGCGACGTGGTTACAGCATGGAAAGTTCAGTTTAGAGAGATCTCCAACATTTTCACACGAAAATGGTGAATTATTGTAGGATAGCGGATGTACTAACCGATATGATAGAGTCATGATAGGGAAAAGGATAAGAAATTCTTTCGACTACCTGCTGTTATAACTAATCAGGGAGAACATGAGAAGTGTATCACAGAGGAGAGTGGCGTTCACACCCAGACAGATGTTACTGGACCTCTGTATGACGCAACCTTATCTGAGCTACAGACTCTAAGAACGGAAAACATTGAGTTTAAGAGCCAGATGAGCACAGCCGAGCGTTTCACTGAGAATGATGAGGGAAATGATGATAAAGTTAAATATTTCACAGGGCTACCGACTTTTATTGACTGTACTGTTCATATATTCTTCATTGGAGCAGTTTTTACCTAGCTGTTCTTCTCTGTCCAGATTTCAAATGTTTATGATGACGCTTATGAAGTTGAGACTTAACCTGTCAAGTCTTCTTGCTCTCTGTCTCTCCTCCTCCCTCTCTCTCTCTCTCTCTCTCCTCCCTCTCTGTCTCTCCTCCTCTCTCCTCCCTCTCTCTCTCTCTCTCTCTCTCCTCCCTCTCTGTCTCTCCTCCTCTCTCCTCCCTCTCTCTC